GAATCAACACATTTCCAGAGTTTTTTGGGGGACAATATCATTGCTTTATGTTCAATCCACTTAACCCCAAATTACTTAAATTAATGTGCTTTTTGGGTATTTATTTCCATCCATTCTGGTGTGATTTTGCGTCTTAATTTAGACACAACTTTTTCTATTACAGCAAATGAGATAATTTTTGGTGACAAATCTTATTTTGACACATATTTTGAAAAAAATGTAACAATACATTTTTTAGCAGTTTTTGCCTTATTGACTCTGGTGCAGATTACAGAGGCACTACAAATCTGTCACTTTAAAGAACTACAAATACCATCATGCACTTTTTTCACACACTTGGTCCAAATCCCTCTTCATTGCAAACACACACAGTTGAAGCAGTTCAGGACTAATCAGATGGACCATATAAACAGCACAAACACACACAGACTTTGCTGATTCTTGTTCAACTATAACTTCACGAAGCGTTATTCCATTGTCTTGCCTTGCCGTGTTTCCCGACCCTTGCCTTTTTTATTGTTTTATGTTGTTTGCCTTCTGTACGAATCTCTTCACCTGTGACCCTGACTATTCTTTTGGAATACCTGCCTGCTTCTGTTTATTCCTGTTTGACCATTGCCTGTCTGACTAAGCTTTCATTAAGATGCAATTAACTCAGCTGTCAGAACATAGTAAACATAGTAAGTGTATTTATGCTTGGCACTATAATCTGCTTTTTTACTCCATAGAACTTCTTAAAAAAAAACAAGAAACTTTTTAGCACAGGCCTATCTAAAGGGTTATTGCTGCCAAGTGATGATCAGGTGTAAAAATGAAAAATTTTACCTTTTTCCAACAGGGAAAATCACCAACAATCATGAATGCATGATTATTTAGTGTCATGACTTTGCAATGAATAAATGTCATTACAATGGAAGTCAATGGGGCAAAAACATCCATGAACATAACGAAAGGACAGTCAATTTGAACAGTACACAAGGGTTAAATCTGTAAAAACAATATGAAAACAATATAAACCTCAAATCAATATGTATTGGGACAATGTGACGGAATTTTGTGGAACCTCTCTCCTCTCCTGTGTTTATCTCTCTCCAGATTTGTTGTAAAGATGTTGTTTTTTTGTTTGTTTGTTTATATCTCACCATTACAATTTGTATTAAATTTGATCGCAGAATTATGAGTTTAGAATGTCTTTCACACAGTTTAGTAACCAGTGTTGGGTAAAGTTGCTTTAAAAAGTAATATATTTTCATCTTGAGTCTTTTTTTTTTTTTAAAGCAACTGTGTTACTTAGATACTTTTAAAGGAAATTCACACGAAAGTGTGTGTTTTTCTTAAAATTGTAATATATTACTTTTAAAAGTAACTTTATCCAAGTAACTTGGATTACAAATAACTTTGTTTCATAATTGTCGTGCTATAAAGGTATAATTCTGAGAAAGTAAGTAAGAATTACAAGATATCCTGAACAAAGACAGGAAGAAAGACTTATGTGTACAGTATGTATTAGCATTTGTGTGAAAGTCACAATTCCTAAAAAAGACTGTTGTTTTTAGTTGTTCCCCTCATTAAATACATTCTACTGTACTTTAGTAATACAATTGTCATAGTATCTTTAGATAAACTGTAACAGGTTAAAATAGAAAACAATCATTGCCATAATATTTCTTAATATTATAATTTTTTTAGCAAATAAATGCTGTAATGTGAGAAACCATTCTATGAAAAGGAATTAATTCATCTTACCAACCTCTGGGTTTGAAGAGCTATAAACTTAAATTAATAATTATAAATCATGATTGAAATCTCTTTTAGGTTTGCTAAGAATTAGTGCAGGGCAAAGATTAATTGGGATTAAACCAAAATAATAATAATAATAAAAAGTTTATTTTGACATAATATGTGTGTACTATGAAAATCTTGTTATGTACATATAAATACATATTATCCTTCTCAGAAGTTTCTCCCTGTACTTGCGATTTTATGACTTTTTACTGAATATATTACAATTCTGACATTTGTCTTTGATTTTCTTTTACATAAAAATCCTCATTTCTATGACAATCATTTTGACAAGACAGACTATTTAATCATTAATAAGTCTCAATGGCAATAAAATCAAACATGCAATTGCAAGAAATAAAGTCACAATTCTCAGAACTGTGAGACGCAAGTCAAAGATCTGAGAGAAAAAAAGCTTTGCCCAGCCTCAAATGGGATGTCCCATGTATAAGAGCAGGGTGGAGTTATGGAGTACAACTCTGTTCACATCGGGGTTCTGTCAGTTGTTCTCAAATGTTTGATGAATGGGGCTCTGATGTAAGTTCAGGCATGTTTGCGGTTGTTGGGATGTGTGTGCATGTGTGTGTGTGGACATGGGTCAGACCAATGACTCCACTCTTAGGGGATCCAGATGTTTAGTGGGAGCGGAAGTGTAAGAATCTGGAATTCTGACATATACTGACATGACTATAAAACACTGAACTAGAGAACAAGCCATAAGGGACCATCTTTAATATCCGTACGGCAGGGAAACTCACAATGGAGATGGCTTTAATATGTTAAATGTGTCTTTTAGATTGCAGTGGGACGTAACTGAGAGCAATCTGAGTCTTTCGGGGTTTTGTGTCGGGAAAACAAAACACTAACATGTGGAGCATCTAGAATTTCAGTCAAGATCTCAACAATGTTTCAAACTGTTTAGCTTTGACAAAAATTATAACTCAGCATACTATAACTTTACATATTATAACTTAAGAAAAAAAATACATTATACTGTAATACATCTGTCAGAATTTCTTTAAATAATGTGTAACCGTTTAAAACAGAAAACAATCATCTGAAATTGCCATGATATTTCTCAATATTACTGTTTTTTAATCAAATAAATGCTGTATTGGTGAGTGACTTAAAAAAAGGAAACAATCTCACCAGCCTCAGGATTTAAACATGAAGAATCTAACCAAGGATCTGAGAATACATTGAACAAATGTATGCGTGTGTTGCTTCAAGGACACAACCATTTATTTGTGTTGTGTTTTATTTTCTATTCATCTATTCTTCGTTTCATTATTTTATTTAATTATATGATCATTAGTCATTTACTGTATATAATTATCAATATTGCCAATCTGGGGTTGCAGTGGAATGAATCCCCAACATATCCAGCATATGTTCTACACAGCGGACGCCCTTCCAGCTGCAACCCATCATTGAGAAACACCCATACACTCTCATTCACACACATACAATTTAGCTTACCCAATTCACCCATAGTGCATGCCTTTAAACTTGTGGTGGGAGCACCCGGAGGAAACCCACATAAACACGGGGAGAACATGCAAACTCCACAAAGGAATGCCAACCAACCCAGCCGAGGCTCTAACCAGCAACCTTCTTGCTGTGAGGCAATCATGATACCCACTGCGCTACCAGGATGCCCCACTGGTCAATGTTGTTAAGCACAATTTTTTGTTGCTGTTGCTTGTGGTATAATAATTTAAAGCACTGATTCATACACAACTAAGATTATTCAATAACCTCTGCTCTTTCTTTATCATTATTACTTCATCTCCTGCTTTTGCTCTGCTCTGGCTTTCTCAGTCAACTCCTATATTGATAGGAGATTGTTAATTCAGTTAAATACTGGTTAACAAGTTTGGCTATTGAGCGGCTCTGCTGGCTTGTTGTCTGGATACCCAGAGAAACAGACATTATCCGACAGAATCTGGCCTCCGTGGTTAGATCTCATTCATCTGGCATGAAGAGTGTTATATAACAAACAGTAACAAACTTAATAATAAATCATGACTGAAATCTTCTTTAGGTTAGCTAAACCTACGCCAACACGGGGAGAACATTCAAACTCCACACAGAAATGCCAACTGACCCAGTCGGGACTCGAACTTGCTGTGAGGCAACAGTGCTCATTTATTTTCTGTTCGGCTTGTTCCCTTTATTAATCAGGGTTGCCACAGCGAAATGAACCGCCAACTTTTCCAGCATATGTTTTACACAGCGACCTTCTTTCTGTGTGGCGACAGTTCTACCCACTGCGCCACCGCGCCGCCCAAGAAAATGTTTATTTATACTTATATATATAAAATATTTACAGAATATATGTATATGATACAAATAAGATATTCATTTGAATATCTATGTAACAAAACTGATTTGTGCAGTTTTGTTTTTATGTATGTATGTGTGTTTCACATATATTATTCACACATATATCCTCCTGTTAAAACTAACCTTTGATTTGGGTGTGATTTATCATGATCAATATTTGTCCAGCACTATATGATAAACCAACCTTTTTTAAATGATTAAAACTATTAAAATATATTAATAATATGTTCATATTTACTGTTACTAAATCTGTGATTGATTAATTACTTCATTCATTTCCATTCGTTCATTCATTTATTCATTTTCCTTCGGCTTAATCTCTTTATTAATCAGGGGTTGCCACAGCAGAATGAACCGCCAATGTATTCGGCATATGTTTAACGCAGCGGATGCCCTTCCAGCTGCAACCCAGTACTGGGAGACATCCATACACACTCATTCCCACATTTCGTTTATTCAATTCACCTCTAGCGCATATCTTTGGACTGTGGGGGAAACCGGATCACTCAAAGAGAACATGCAATCTCCACGAAGAAATGCCAACTGACCCAGCCAGGACTCGAACCAGTGAACTTCTTGATGTGAGGTGACTACTGAGCTATCGTGGTGCCTCTTAAAATAATTAGAAATACCTTTTTTAGAATTACGACATACAGTTATTATAATGAACCATTTCTCTTGCTTTATCTACACCACATTATTTGGAAACAGGATCATCCAAATAACAATTTGTCTAAAAAGTATTTCGGATGACATCAAACAATTGCTGCTCATCTTGTCTCACATTTAAAAACCTTTAAAATTCTGCCTACATGTAGTGTTTTGGAAAAAGATAAGAGCCTCAATCAATAATACACATATTCAGTACTCACCTCCAGCACTTTCCCTGTAATAAACTGGTGACAGGCCTCACACTGCACGCCGAAATGGATCTGGTAGTCTTTTTCGCAGTACGGAGAACCATCCCTTAAAGGAGAGAGGCAAGAGAGATTTATGCTTTTATTCTATTCTATTTCACCTCAGTGAAACCGGGATAAGAGCAGAAATTGAATGCTATTAGAAAAGCCGACAGATAAGAGAGGGGGAATTATAGAGATGGCGAGAGATAAAGAATAATGAAGGCATAGCTCACTTGCTGATGTACTCTCCGCTCAGCACTTTGCCACAGGCTTTGCACTTGAAGCAGCCGAGGTGCCACTGACTGTCCAAGGCCAGAAGAGCCTGACCGTTCTTTATATCCCTGCCACATCCAGCACAGTCTGCAACACAACACAAAAAGACACACGCGTTACTGAACAACAGACTCAAAATGACACTTACTGACTCTGACATGCTGAGAGGAATTTGGAAAACCAAACAAGATTATTAAAAGTGTGTGTGTGTGTTTTTTTTTCCAGTTTATGAACTTGTCATAAGCTGCATTAAACAATTGTTGTGCTGCTTTTAGTGGCGTCACAATGCCGCAGTGGGTGGCACGATCGCCTCACAGCAGGAAGGTTGCCGGTTCGAGCCCCAGCTGGGTCAGTGGACATTTCTGTGTGGAGTTTGCATGTTCTGCAAGAGTGTATGAGTGTTCCTAAGTGTTGGGTTGTGGATGAAAGGGTAAAACATATGTGTAAAACATATGCTGGATAAGTTGGCGATTCATTCTGCTGTGGCGACCCCTGATTAATAAAGGGTCTAGGCCAAAATGAAAACGAATGAATCAATGAATTTGCTGCTTTTCATAGTGTTGTGTTAGTGTTAAATTTGTTTTATTATTATTGGTTAATATTTTGAAAAATATTTTATTTTTGTTTTCCAATTTTATTTTTCACAATTGTTTGTTTCAAACAGCATTACAGTACATATTTATATTTGTAGTGTTATTTTATTATTATTATTAAAATATTGTGAAATAATAATTATTTTATTTTATTTCTTTTTTACAATTGCTATTGATACAGTAGCATTGTTATTGTTATGTATTTGAAGTTATAAAAAATAAACAAACAAAATTAAATGAAGTACATTGAATGATATAGGAATATGAAGATCAAAAATATCTCTGATAGTAGAATGTTCAGTTTTTACATATATATATTTTTAAAACAACTCTCTCCACTAGATGTCAGTGTTAACAAAATAAACCTTTTCTTAGTTTTCAAGGCCTGTTGATCTATAACATATAACATAACCGCACTAATTCTTAAGGCTCTCTCTAAAATGCTTTCAAGCATAGCGTGTCCATAAAATTCATGCAGCGATCAATAATGAATCATTATTATATTGCATGACTCATTAAACAAGTGTCTCCAGCATCATTCTCGAAAGCCAAACCATCCTCCCTCCACAAGATGGAGCTTCTTCCTGGCAGAAACGTGAGGGAATTTAGTTTAAACATGCGTAACGTGTGTATAAGGTTGAGGGATAAAAATAGCTCTGGGTTGTCATCTTCTATTTATGTTCCTTGGCTGAAATCCCAAAAGCTTTTTTAAAAAGCAGGGAGGGATGCGTAGGGCCGGGGACGTCCCAGACGCTGCTGATGTTGCTTCAGGCACAAAAGGCATTGACAGTCAGGAGAGTCTATAATGCACTGCATCTACAGTACTGCTTTAATGCATCATTTAAAGGGGACTGATTATGCTACTTTACCTAACATATAAAATAATCTCTGCTGTCCACAGAATGTAAAGTTTCAGGTCAAAATACACAAGTTGGTGGTTCATTCTGCTGTGGTTACCCCGTAGTAATTAAGGGACTAAGCCGTAAAGAAAATGAATGATTGAATGAATTATAATTAATATTATTATTAAGTAGGATATTGTGTATTTATTAAATTTTTTTGAAAAGTCTACTTTCACAATTTGACACATTCAAACCACTGCATGTTCTAACCAACAGGCCCATGTCATACAGGCCTACAGTACTGATAACCTACATTAAAACCATTAACGTATGTTAATTACAGAGCACACACTAAAGTGTAACGTGTATGTATATATATATATATATATATATGTGTGTGTGTGTGTGTGTGTGTGTGTGTGTGTGTGTGTGTGTGTGTGTGCCCGTGTGTGAGTGTGTTTTCACAAGCTTTGGAGACATAACATAGCCTAAATTCTGCTTTTAAATAATCACCTATAGGTCACCTATAGCTTTCGTCATGAGCTACGGCTGTGTTCAAAATGGCATAAATATTTTCAAAGTGCACTACAATGAGAATGCAATTGTCAATATGAAGAACACTAAAACTGAACTCCTAAAATACACCTACGAGAGAAGCCTTTGATATATATAGTGAGGCTGGTTTGAGACTCAGCTGTGTGGAATTTGCATGTTTCCCCGTGTTGGCGTGGGTTTCCTCTGGGTGCTCCGGTTTCCCTCACAAGTCCAAAAACATGCGGTACAGGTGAACTGGGAAGGCTAAATTGCTCGTAGTTTATAAGTGTAAATTAGGGTGTGGATGTTTCCCAGTGATGGGTTGCAGCTGGAAGTGCATCCACTGCGTAAAACATATGCTGGATAAGTTGACGGTTCATTCACCTGTGGCGACCCCAGATTAATAAAGGGATTAAGCCAAAAAGAAAATGAATGAATAAATAAACTAATGAATGAATGTTTAACAGAGCAAGGAAGTTTTCACAATATTTTTTCTTTTGGAGAAAGTCTTATTTGTTTATTTTTGGCTAGAATAAAAGCATTTTTAAAGTTTTTTAAATGCCATTTTAAAGTTAAAATTATTAGCCCCATTTAAGCTGTTATTTTTTTCTGATTGTTTACAGAACAAACAATTATTATATATTAACTTGCCTCATTACCCTAATCTGCTTATTTAACCTAATTAACCTAGTTACGCCTTTAAATGTCACTTTAAGCTGTATAGAGGTGTCTTGAAAACTATCTGGTAAAATATTATTTAATGTTATCGTGGCAAAGATAAAATAAATCAGTAGAAATGAGTTATTAAAACTATCATGTTTAGAAATATGTTGAAAAAATCTTCTCTCTGTTAAACAGAAATTGGGGAAAAAATAAAAAAGGGGCAAATAATTCTTACCTCAACTATATATATACATTTATATTTATATTTTTTAAATCATTCCAAGTTTGAATGTTGGAGCGTTCTAAATTAATAAGGCATAGGGGGTATAACGGGCAATAAGACACAACCAATACATTTTAGTACACTTCTCATCACAGTTATAAGGGAAAATGTAAAATATCTGTCATCTGATTATGCAGTGATATATAATTGTGTGATTATGAATTATGCTGCCTTTGAACATTTTCTGGTTTAATCTACATAGTTCTAAATAGTCAATGGTAATTTTAGAAAGTAGTCAGCTGTGGAAGTAAACATAAAGATTAAGGGGCGGTTACATATTTAAAAATAAAAACATGTACCTACATCACTAGGGGAACAAAATCTGAGTTGCTCATTTGTTTACATGCTTGCAGAAAAAGGCTTACTCATTACTGATTATTGCACTTAAAAAATGGAAAAAAGTAAATTTTTAGTTAAAGATTTATATGAATTGTCCCTTCTGCCTACCCCGCACTGTGGGTGTTTATGGAGAGAAATTAAAGGCATGCTTCAAAATGAGCTGTGTTCAGTCCACCTGTCATGGGGTTTATCTAAACTCTCTGACTGCTGTGCAGTAAAAGCTGCATTATCATGCCTTTAACAATCAGCACCTTCCAAAAATCAAGCCGTTTATCTGGACTAAAGACTTTCATCAGCTTCAAATCATTTCCCGGAGCTCATGAATGACAAATAATCAGCCAAGCATGACACAAAGACATATTCAGCAGCGCTCTTTAAGTTCCTGTGTCTGCGGATGCGGGAAGAAGGAAAGATATCTGAGAAAGACAGAGAGGAAGTTCATGGGCATATGTGAATAAATCAAACAATGCATGAATGCATTATTAACACTAAAAAGGTGAATTAGCCATCATGCAAGACATAATATAGGCCAGTATTTCATTTTGCTTGCTTATTTATTATATTTTTTTACATCGCTATGTCATTATTTAGCACTTTATTTAAGAATTTAATTAAAGCTCAAGTTAATTAGAAAATTATTTTAAATGACTTTATGACAATTAAGTTCTAATTTTAATATATTATATTGTTCTAAATATATTTAATTTGTAATGATTCATTCATTAATCCTAAATATATTCTATATTTTACTGAATATTAAATAACACACTCCGGCTCCTTTCTTCCCACGATAATCCAAATCCAAACTGCACTGATGCATGGACACTGATGCGCAGTGTTTTCTCAATCAGCTCAATCCCATGACGCAATGCTAACAATTACATTAATTCTCTCCTCTGCAACACAGCAGCTATTCATTGCTAAATTGCTCCCGTAATTGTCCATCACCTGATGTCGTTATGTAACAACAACGATTCCCCGCATTATGACAATTTGATTCTAATGAGTGCAGCCATTTACTATAACAAGGAAACACAGCGCCTCAGGAAATCTGCACATTCAACACATGCGGAGTCCTGGCCTGTCAGCATCTATCAGTCTTGAATGCAGAAAAAAAGTGGACGGCCGGAGAGTGTAGCAGAGAGAGAACGGGACACGTAGCAGCGCTCTGGGCTTTTCATTGACTCTTGGGGCCCCGCAGCTTAAATTACACCAAGAGGAGCCCTAATCTACCGGAGGAGGATGGAGAAACTTCCTCAAAGTGAGATAAAAGAGAGAGAGGAATCAAAGAGAGAAACGTTTATAAGGAGATCAGCTTTTCCCTGGTTGACAGCACAGGAATTGCTCTAAGTATCCTGTCAACTCAAGTAACCCTAGAGGAGTCTGAAAGGGAGCTTGGAAGCTTATTAAAGCGATATTTCAGAATAAATATTTGTAGTTTAAAAGCTATCATGGTGTTGTGGATGACTGCCAAAGCATTCCTATAGTTAATGTATAGAACATACAGTGTATTCTGACTGGTATTAGTAGATTATTTTAAACAGACTGGATTTTGGAATGGTGCTGCAATGTTTCTGCTGGCTGCCAAGGAGTTTTTATACAGTTTCACTACAATATACACTGCTGTCACACTTTACAATAAGGGTTCATTAGTTAATCTTAGTTAATGTGTTTACTAACATTAGCTAATTATGAACAATACTTGCACATTAAGAAAGGACATTCAGAAATATTGTCAAAATGCACATTGCTTATGACCCATTCTTCAGAAATGATGTTGAACAAACCTTGTTTGTGAAGTAGTCATCTGTGGGAGTAAACATGCAGATTAAAAGGACCCCTAGCTACATTACTAAAGGAGCAAATTCTGATGTGCTCATTTGTGTACATGCGTACCCAAACATTTAGAACATAATTTTAAAGTTATAGTCCAACATTTACTAATGCATTACTAAAATCTAAACTGTTAGTTATTGCAGTGGTTCCCAAAGTGTGGGTCGTGGGATAATGTGTGGGCACAAAAGAGGTGGATGAAGATATACACACCTTATGCCTAGTGCCTAGCATTGTATAACTAGTGTTGTGATCAGGGATGCAGCAGTTGGTCAAGTCTAGGTTCAGCATTGTTATTTGCCTATATGAATGGTCAGCTGACTACCTGAACATAATGAATGACCAGATTATTCTGTCAATGAGATGTTTTATTCCCTGATGGCACAGGCAATGAATGACAATGGCAGAATTTATTTGGCTTAAATTTTGAAAGAGTGGTTCAGGGAGCATACATCATTCTTACATATGGATTGGTCACCACAGAGTCCAGATCCAAACTATATTAACAATGTTTGGGATGTGCTGGATGAGACTTTCCATTGTCATTGAAAGATCTTTGTGAAAAAAAGTAATGCAACTCTAGATGGGAATAAATGTTGGGAAATATATTTAAACAATGCCACAGAGATTGTGTGGTGTCGAACAATGAAGCATCAAACATACATCATCTCACAATTTTTAGTAGATGCCAGGTTAACGTTACTGGCTGAAAATATGATGTATATGACACAAAAGACTTTAAACACTTCAAACGGGTTTGCTAAACTGGATGTCTGATAACCGACAGACAGAACTAAAACAACAATTTGATTATTGTTACACAACACAAAAAATTGCACTTATTTACATTGCAATATTAAGTAAAATACAAACTATAAAACTACGGACATCAGATTCCCCAAAGGCAACTAATGTCATAAAAAGTGTCATACAGTTTCTAATGAGATGGAGAGGCAGTGAGTTTCAAACTAGCAATGACCTTAAGTCTTGAGCGGGATAAGATCTGTCACCACACGCCTTCAATTCACAATATAACACATCTATTAAAGGGGGATGATGGTGGCAAGCTGAAATCTGAGCAGGACACTAAAACATAACTAATAAGCACTCAAGTGTGTGTGTGAATGTGAACTCACTACTAGAGGCGCTGATGTCTTTGGAAGTTGGCGAAGTTGGCTGGACGCAGCGCTGGCAGAGACAGTCTTTTCCATTAAACGTGACTCTATCACCAGCGGGAAACGGCCGTCTGGCAAAAAAAGAAAGATGCAGAGGCATTTAGTCATATACACTGGCATATCAAAAGTTTTAAGTCATAAAAATTACTTTTGAAAGAAATAATATTTTTTACATTTAATAAGGATTTTGATCAGAAGTGACAGATACAAATACTATCTGATCAAAATTCTTGCTTGTTTAGTGTCACATGATACCCCTTCTCAAAAAGCCTTGAAATCTTTGAAATGTTGATAATAATAAGCTATGTATCTTGACCTTATTTTAGAAGAAAAGTTTAACACCATCATAGGAATTCATTTTAAAATATTAAAATAGACCATTGTTATTCTAAATCACATTAATATTTTACATTATGGACATTTTTACTTATTTTCATCAAATACATGAACATAACATGCATTATCCAAAACTAACTTGTTAATCATAATAATTAGTTAATTGGAAAATTAGCTTCTATTATTTGAATTTAGCTTCAATTATTTGAATCTCTGTATTTGATTGACTGCTAGCTAAACTGTGGTGTATAAAAGCCATGGCTAATCATTGCGATCACACTCATAAAGGATTTTTTCATCCACCTATTTTAGATATGTGCATAAAACAATTGTTGATGGAAACATTGATGGAAAAATGTGCATAAAAATGTATGCACATAACTGAGAAGGATACACTTTTTATTGGATAAGAAAAAAATGCACATAAACTGATTTGGAAACACTTTTACAAATTCCAGTATATGCATTAAAAAAAGATCATGTGATTTTGTAATAAGGGTTTATGTGATGGAAAATGTGTGTGAATGGACAAATCAGCCAGCTTAGCACATTGTAAAACATCTGAATTTTTTTTTTTTTTTTTGTTATTCTAAAACGCAGTCTTAACCATTTCAGTATTAGTGTTGTTATAATATTAATTTTTACATTCAGAACTTTCAAGAGCTTCTGTGCTCCGCATCTCATGCCTTCAAACACCAGCATGTGATCATCAGTGTGTAGCCATTATCTTCTGAGGTGCAAGTCATTTATTAAATTTAAAAAAAAAAGATTCAAATAAAGAAAACTTCTCCTCCTGCAGCAAATTCCGTTTTTACTGTTGATCTTAGGCGCCAGTTTATCAGGAAGTGACGATTTTATTCTCTTGAACTCATTGAATGGAAAAATGTTTTATTCGCAATTGTTTTATGCAATATTCCAGTTATGCGCATACATTCACATCTTTGGATGGAATCATGGTTATAGATACAGTGCATCCGTAAAGGATTCATAGCGCTTTACTTTTTCTTTATTTTTTGTTACAGCCTTATTCCAAAATGGATTAAATTCATTTATTTCCTCAACATTCTTCACGCAATACCCTTTAATGACAATGTGAAAAAAAGTTTTTTTGAAATTTTAACAAATTTAATTAAAATAAAAAACTTGAAAAATCAAATGTACATAAGTATTCACAGCCTTTGCCATGAAGCTCTAAACTGAGCTCAGGTACATTCTGTTTCCACTGATCATTCCTGAGATGTTTCAGCAGCTTAATTGGAATTCACCTGTGGTAAATTCAGTTGATTGGACACATATTTGAAAAGGCATACACCTGTCTATATAAGGTCCCAGGGTTGAAAGTGCATGTCAAAGCACAAACCAAGCATGAAGACAAAGGATTTGTCAGTAGAACTCAGAGACAGGACTGTCTCGAGGCACAAGGCTGGGAAGGTTACAGAAACATTTATGCTGCTCTGAAAGTTACAATGAGCACAGTGGCCTCCATCATACATAAGTAGATGATGTTTGGAACCACCAGGACAGCTGGCCAGCCAACTAAGCTGAATGATCGAGAGAGAAGGGCCTTAGTCAGGGAAGTGATCAATAACCCGATGGTCACTCTGTTTGAGCTTCAGTGTTCTTCTGTAGAGAGAGGAGAACCTTACAGGAGGACAACCATCTGTGTAGCAATTCACTAATCAGGCCTGTATGGTAGAGTGGCCAGACGGAAGCCACTCCCCACCTGGAATTTGCCAAAAGGCATCTGAAGGACTCTCAGACCCAAAATTCTCTAAAATTAAACTCTTCAGAGTAAATGCCAGGCATTACGTTTGTAGAAAACCAGGCACCGCTCAACACCTGGCTATTACCATCCCTACAGTGAAGCATGGTGGTGGCAGCATCATGCTGTGGGGATGTTTTTCAGCAGCAGAAACTGGAAGACTAGTCAGGATAGAGGGAAAGATGAATGCAGCAATGTACAGAGAAATCCTCAGACTGGGGCGACGGTTCATCCTCCAGCAGGACAATAACCCAAAGCACACCACCAAAATATTAATGGATGGGCTTCGCAACAACTCGGTGAATGTCCTTGAGTGGCCCAGCCAGAGCCCAGACCTAAATCCTTTTTAACATCTCTGGAGAGATCTGAAAATGGCTGTACACCGTTGCTTCCCATCCAATCTGATAGAGAACAATTTCAAAAACTCTTTTTTTCACATTGTCATTATGGGGTTTTGTGTGTAGAATTTTGAGGAAATTAATTAATTTAATGCATTTTGGAATAAGGCTGTAGCATAAAAAACTGGAAAAAATAAAGCGCTATGAATACTTTCCGGATGCACTGTATGTGTTACACATTTGAATGTAGAGGGCCTGCTTTTGCGTAACTCTTACTTGCAAACAGTACAGACGAAACATGTAGGGTGGTAGGTCTTCCCAAGAGCGGTGACCACCTCTCCTTCAACAAAGTCTCCACAGCCGTTACAGCGAGTGCCATGAAGCCTCTGGTAGTCCAACGTGCATAAATACTCTCCATTCTTCATGAAGAAACCACCCTGGGCCAGGTCACAACCGCACACTAAACATAAACACAACATCAGACAAGACATTAGGACAATCTGAACAGACACCACATTCTTTGAAAATAAGTTTGGCTCTAGTTGAGTTACACTACTGCATGGCTTTTGCACATCAAGTTGCACAGTTTTGGCTGCTAGCTAACACAAGGTCACGGAGCTTCTGCTTATTTTTGCCTGTGTGTCTGTGGACAAAAATTGTAAAAAAAAAAAAAAAAGAGAGTTTGGTTCACTGAAGATTTCCTGAGCTTTCAAGACTCTGGCACAAGTTCAGACACTTTATATAGGTCCGCATGAATAGGTGCGTTAGGTCTGCGTATTGGCAAGCGTGTGTGTGTGTGTAATCCTGCCGTCACACATGCCAGATCCGTCTGAAAGCTCCTTGGCAGGCCGAGACTGATATTTAACAGCTTGTTTAGTGTCACATGATACCCCTTCTCAACAAGCCCCTTTTTCTATCTCTTCCTCTCTGTCCTTCTTGCTCTCTATCTGTTTTTCTCTGTCTATCCTACCACATTTCAACCAGTAAAATATTTGCGGGCACAGTTTTTCACTTTATTTATTAATGTTTATATTCTATGAGAAATCACAGTGATTGCAAACAATAATTAAATCAATTCCTGATTGATAAAATAAAGTCACGTCCCTTTTTCTAGTTTGAAACAATTTCACTCTAAACTATTTAAATAATGTGATTAGCACACTGATCTTCATTCCCATGGAAGAGCTCTGGGAGAATATAAGTGCAAGAGAGAATCAGGCCTGAAACATTTACCGTGTTTTTCATATTTATGCATTAATCATCCATTAGGAAGAGCCACTGCTTACGTTTAACTTGTTGTTTATGTTTTTTTTGTCATTAAACTTTGTGTTCAACATCTGCTGGATCCTGCTTAGTTTTGCTTTAAATTTGTACCCCATTATATTGGGTTCAAAGCTAAGGATTTTTTTTTCTGCTTGGGCCAGTTGTTCAGATTTTTACTTGCCCTGCAAAAATTTGAAAAGTTTTTTCCTTGCACTTTAAAAAAGTGTCATGTATACACTACAGTGTTTTCAAAAAAATCTGCATTTGCACATCTGTGAAAATGACTAAAAATCCTGTATTATCTATGCCAGACCAGTATTTGGCACTGCTACCTTGTTAGTAAGCAGCACCTGTGGTAAAATAAAAACTTGGTGGCTTGGCACTGATGTGTATGTAGATTTTGCTGTGTGTGCAAGGTGTGCTGCAACACTGTTGGGTGTAATGTAAAGTAAATCCACACTTTGCTGATAAAGCATAAAGAAGCACTTGAGCGACAACAACACTACCACATACTCTGCCATTGTTGTGTGTTAGTTTGCACTGTCACCTCCCTAAACATGTAAAATGCACACGCATGACGTCATCATTTTCAAAGACTAATTTTAAGGTGGGTTTACACTGACATGACAATAGCATCCTTTTCATCACAAATTTTTAAAACCCATTTTCAAATATGTGCAAAAATGCTGTTGTTGTGTAAACAAACAGGCAAACACATACAGTTTTCTGTTTTTGGCTGAAAACAATGTTGTGTAAATGGCCCCTTAGAAAGGCAGCTGCCACCAGGGGGCCCAAAGAAAGTGGCATCATCGCCAACTTTAGGGGTGCATTTTAGCACTTTGCTTAGGAGAAGCAGGTGCCACAGGAACACAGCCTCAAAGCTAGATGGTGACAAAGGAAAGGTGCTAGTGGCCCCTAGGGGTGGGGAGTACTACTGGGCAGCATCTAGGGTGGCTGCCAGGCACTGTGAAGGAGTTCTACCAGCTGGTAATGTTTATCCCCTCTTGCTTCAGTTGCTCTTTATCCATCTTTCTCTCACCTCATCTATTTCTATGGTGCAAAGCTTCGCCCAGGCTGTGATAGAGAGGGGTTATGTAGTATCTAATGATCCCATGGTTGATGGTCTTGCCCACCCCTTGTTCCCTGATGGCTGGGATGGCTCCTCCATGTAAGAGGATCAGAAATGGAGTCATCATTCGCTGACTTTAGTAGATACATATATCATTGCTGTGATAGGGAGAAATGTGTCCTGTAGGAATTTTAATAGAATTACTATTAGTGAGTAACAAAAAGGAGCTTTTAGCTAACTTTATAGGATGGGGCAATACAAGGCCATCCACCAAGGATCATCCACTGCCAGACAACACAAGGGAGTTCTTTGAGGTTATCCTTTTTTCCGTTCCAACTCTTGCCTGTTCCTTCTCAACCATCCTTTCTCTCAACTCGACAATCCCTAATGCAAGGTGTTGTGACCACCTAGGGTATTCATCTAATCCCTGTAATCCTTCTGTCCCCTGACATCTCCTCCTCGTCACTGTCTGGTAGCAATGCACTGTTCCCAATGCACCTTCCTCCCCCCAAAACAGAGGTTAGATACAGCCTCTGATGGCAGATGTCCCTCAAAGCTCCAGTGTGCAGTTTTGATACTTACAAAAAATGTAAGTATACACTAAGCAGCAGCCCCTCGTGTATGACAGCCGCATAAACATAAACTAAACACCAGTGCAAATCTTCCAGGCCTGTTCTTCTCTCCCCCTCTTTGTCACATTATATCTTTCCAGAGCTCCTCCTTAGGACTAGAGACCAGTATGTCACACAGATGTCTCTCATAAATATTTAGTCCAAAAGCCTCGTTGGTTGGATCTTGGCCCTGCCCTGCTTCCTACTTAATAATTTAAAGAATTATTGTTTTCATCAGCTTATGAAACTCCTTCACACATTACTGTTTGGGAAATAACTCAGGCCATAGTTTCTATATTTAAAAGGGAGGGCATAGGGGAAGCACCTTTTTGAATCATACTATGACAAAAGGACACTAATTTTAATGGATTTTAAAGGAACACTCCAATTTGTTTTTATAAATAGACAAATCTACTTAAAGGGCACCTATTTTACCCCCTTTTCAAGATTTAAGATAAGTCTTTTGTGTCTCTAGAATGAGTCTGAGAAGTTTCAGCTCAAAATACCCATCAGATTATTTATTTTACCTTTCTGGATTTGTGAAATTTGCGTTGTTAATACATTGTAGCTGTTTTTGTTGCCTGTGCCTTTAATGCAAATTAGCTGATTCTCTCCACCTACCATTTTCACGTGCATGTCAATATATCTCTCTGTATTGCTCTGATGCATGTCGCTGTCATGTAGATAAACAGCACAGTGACAGACAAGAATGAAGCAGATCTCCCTTACTACAGTAAGCACTTTCTCAATAATATTTGATGTATTTATTGTGGGGTTAATTCAAGGCTTTCTGCAACAAGGAGTCACACACAGTGACATTATAGCATACACACACACACACACAGATGCGCACTTTGCATATCCTGTATTGTGAATATTATTATACTCTTTACTACGAAGATATATTAATACATAGCTGTCAATCAATTCAGTGGACAGGGAAACCACACTCCTACTTCACGTTGCGGTGGGCCTCAAAATAAGAGGGATTTGGATCCTATTTTAACGTCAGAAGATAAAAGAAAAGAGACTTATTGTGTTTCTATCACTCCAACATGACTGTGGACAATATACACACAGTTCTTTGTAAAGAGCTTCCAAAAGATGATTTTCATCATAGGTGCCCTTTACGTTTCCAAGAGTTATACAGTTACCATTTTTAATCCATTGCTGGAAGCACTGTTAGCTTAGCATACATCATTGAATCTGATTAGACCATTAGCATTTAATTTCTTTTAAATAGTTTTAATAATTTTCTTATTTATACCTTGACTATTTTGTTGTTACATTACAGCATGCACTGCTTTGATGCGTAATATCATTGCAACTGCTGCATCTATTTTACAGCAGCAAAGTTCCTTGATTATTACGCCAGAATGCATAGTTCCTAGCCATATCAGCTTAGAAAATAGCAACTTTTTATTTTCCGTCAGTCATATAACTACAGAAGTGTCAAGCTTTTAATAGGAAGATTTTTGATTTTAAAAGAGATGCTAATGGTGTAATCCGAATCAATGTGTTATTCTAAGCTAAGCTAAAAGTGCTCCCGACAGACAGAGATTGGATGAATGGATTAAAAAAAAAAGTAAAACTTAAATGTTTAACTGTAGGTTAGTTCTTAAATGAGCCTTTTTCCAAAAAGTGCAGTGTTCCATTGTGCATGACTATAAGAACCAGTAATAAAATTGACATGGATACCAAACAATTTAACACAAAGTAGCAGTGATATATTAACATCTCTAGTGAGTAAAAGTTGATTACATATAGCTTGATCAGTAACAACCCAGGAATTTCATTGCCAAATAAATAAACCATTTGCAGTAAGCATTTTGTTTAAACGCCTTTTACGTAATGCTTTCAACACAAATCCTGAATGTTATTTGTACTCCCATCTCCTCAGCTGTTATCATATCTTTTGCTTCATTGAATCTGTCTTCTGGTTCTGGAAGATTAGGTCCATTTAAACAGACAAATGTGACAAGCAGGTGGCAGTGGCGACAGTAGTGATTAGCAGAGAGAGAGAGAGTTGTGTAAGCGTCGCAGCCAATGCCCTCACTTGTGTCTGGCATTTGGATAACCTTCAGTGACAGGGTACAGAATGCCAGAATGCCAGTTTAGAAAATGTCATAGCCATTAATGTTGATGCATGCACATCTTACAAACACAGTCCACTATACACAACCGCCATTCTCTCATTACTATCCAGATTCATACTGTATATGAACGCAGTATCTACAGTTGAAGTCAGAATTATTAGCTCCACTTCGATTTTTAAAAATATTTTCCAAATGATGTTTAACAGAGTAAGAAATTTTCACAGTATGTCTGATAATATTTTTTCTTCTGGAGAAAGTCTTATTTGCTTTATTTTGGCTAGAATAAAAAGCTGTTTTTAATTTTTGAACACCATTTTAAGTTCAAGATTATTAGCCCCTTTGAGCTATATTTTTCGATAGTCTACAGAATAAACCATCTTTATACAATAACTTGCCTAATTACCCTAACCTGCCTAATAAA